TCCGTGGACCACTTGGTCTGTTTCTGCTGTCATTCTTCTATGTTTCTATGTTCTGCATCCACTTGTAAAATCTCACATGTGCTTCGCTGGTCGTGTGAAGCATCAAAGTGGCATCTGGCCGATTTCCTGATGTCCTCCCGAGTCCTCTCCATGCCTGAGGGACAGAAAGCCGAGTGTAATGTCCTCTCAGCTTTGTTCTGAGCCGAGGAGGCTGCATCCATTGATGATGTGGGCCATTGACATGTCTCATCTGCATGGATCCCCCTGGTCAAGAGAGTGCTAAAAGGCTCAGTCTTCAAACAGGAGCAAGGACCTGGCTGAGATCAAAGGATTCCCCACCGCTACTAAGAGGACATCCAATAATTCCACCATTAACAGAGTGAGATGAAGAGGATGGCAAGACCTTCTTAGGAAGCCCCGGCAGCAGCAGAGTATTGTACTACATTAGTCATCAGCAACAATAGAAATTTGAATTTATAGTGATGCCATTTATTGGTTGTAGGGCCATCTTTCGAGGGATGTGTGCCTGAAGAAGAAGAAGCTAGCATGCCTGGAGAGCTTGCACCACAATCCATTTAGGTAGCCCTATTGTAGTCAAATCCTCGGAACATCTGAGGATCGGAATTGCTACTGCCGGCAAACAGTCAAAGTGCACATCGCCCGAAACCAGGTGACTAGAGCCAGTAGACAGGAAGCGGATGGCAGAGGCTGCAGGAGACCAGCAGCATTGAAATGGAACAAAAGATGAAAAAAAAACAAACATGGCAATTGTTTATAATACATGGTGCCCAGGACACACCAAAGCTGGCCAGAGACAGTTGGGTTTTTTTTCTCGTTCAGCCAGCACCAATGAGATGGCTGGGGGATTCCCCTCTATCGGGACATTGTACTCTGATGGTGGGACCTAGCTCTGACAGAATGCACCGATTGGCTGCAGCCTCTGATCAATAAACATTTTCATCCACCACCAAAGCTGCCCCCCTGACTCTTGACTACCCACTTAAGCTGCCCCCTGACTCTCAACCACCCCCAAAGCTGTCTCACCTAACTCCTGACCACCCCTCTAAGCTGTCCCGCCGACTCTCGACCACCCCCAAAGTTGCCCTCTCCTCTCTTAACCACCAAGTTAAGTTTTCCCCTCGACTCTTGACCACCCCTCTAAGCTGTCCCCCCCTGACTCTGAACCACCCCCAAAGTTACCCCCCCATCTCTTGACCACCCACTTAAGTTGTCCCCTGACGCTTGACCACTGTTTTTTAAGTTGTCCCCCATGACTCTCAACCACCCCTTTAAGCTATCCCCCCTGACTCTCAACCAAACCCAAAGTTGCCCCTCCCATCTCTTGACCACCCACTTAAGTTGTTCCCCTGACTCTTGACACCCACTTATAAATTGTCTCCCCTGATTCTCAACCACAACGAATGTTGCCCCCCATCTCTTGACCACCCACTTAAATTGTCCCCCCGACTCTTGACCACTCCTCCAAGCTGTCCCCCCCAACTCTCGACCACCCCCAAAGCTGCCCCTTTGTCTCTTAACCACCCACTTAAGTTGTTCCCCACCTCTTGACCACTGACTTAAAGGCTTAAAGGTTGTCCTCCATGACTCTAAATCACCCCTCTAAGCTACCCCCCCTGACTCTCAACCACAACCAAAGTTGCCCTCCCCTCTCTTGACCACCCACTTAGATTGTCCCCCAATTCTTGACCACCCCTCTAAGCTGCCCCCCCAACTCTCGACCACCCCCAAGTTTCCCCCCTGTCTCTAGACCACCCACTTAAGTTGTCCCCTGACTCTTGACCACCGACTTATAGGTTGTCCCCCATGACTCTAAATCACCCCTCTAAGCTATCCTCCCTGACTCTCAACCACACCCAAAGTTGCCCCTCCTGTCTCTTGACCACCCACTTATAAGTTGTCTCCCCGACTCTTGACCACCCACTTATAAGTTGTCTCCCCGACTCTTGACTACCCACTTATAAGTTGTCTCCCTGACTCTTGACCACCCACTTATAAGTTGTCTCCCCTGACTCTAAACCACATCCAAAGTTGCCCACATCTCTTGACCACCCACTTAAGTTGTCCCCCCTGACTCTCGACCACCCCTCTAAGCTGTCACCTGACTATCAACCACCCCCAAAGTTGCCCCGTCTCTTGACCACACACCTAAGTTGTCCCCAACTCTTGTCCACCAACTTATAAGTTGTCCCCTGACTCCCAACCACCCCTTTAAGCTGTGCCCCCAGACTCTCAACCACCCCCAAAGTTGCCCCCCCTGTCTCTTGACCACCCAAGTTGTCCCCAACTCTTGACCACTGACTTATAAGTTGTCCCCTGACTCCCAACCACCCCTTTAAGCTGTGCCCCCTGACTCTCAACCACACCCAAAGTTGTTCCTCTGTCTCTTGACCACTTAAGTTATGTGGGTAGTCTGGAGTCAGGTGGAACAACTTCAGTGAGTAGCATAGAGTTGGGGGGACAACTTCAGGAGAGGTGGAGGGTTGGAGGGGGGGGGTGATCAAATTTGGGGGTGGGACAAATTTTCCACATTGTCCGTTCGATAAATTTAATCAATCGACTTCTGTCGAGCAGGGACAGCCACACACTGAAATTTGACTGGTCCTTGCCGAAATTGGCCGCATCTCATTCCATTTATGGCCAGATTTAGGCCTCATTTACACTTACTATCCCCCTTCAGCTGCAAGGGCAATGGTCGGGGTCGGGGGGGGGGGGGGGGAGGTGTACACATACCATGGCTGCAATGCATCGTGATACAGCAAAACTGATCCCCCCCAATCACTCACAAAAGCAACCCGTTCAAGCTGAATAGGGCTGTGCTGCAACCCGTGCAATGCATGTATAGCTACATGTAACACCTCCCTACTGCCTGTGAAGTGAACTCTGAAGAGCAATCCACCACAGTTTGCTCTTCATAGGCCACTGCAAGTGTAAAAGAGCCCTGAAGCTGGCCATGAGCTACAATCTGATTGTACAATCGCCTTTAGATTTACCAAAACAATGTAATAGGACACACCTCAACAACCTATTCAATTGTATCAAATCAGGCAGGTCCCTTAACTACATAGTAGATGGTAGATCTAAAGGAGATTGTACAATCTGATTGCATAGTGCAGAGATAGGCAACCTTCGCCACTCCAACTGTTGTGGGTTTAAAAGTCCCATGAGGCTTTGCAAGACTTTTGACAGCCGCAGGCATGACTCTCGGAGTCGGGGGCATAATGGGAGTTGTACTCCCCCATAACTGGAGTGCCAAGGTTGTCTACCCCGGTATAGCGTATGGTCACATATTGCAGCTTACCAATCCTTAGATGTGGCAGCTGCATTCGTTTTATTTTTTTAGGCTCCCCCCCCCCTCTGTTTTCACCTGGTGATCTGGCCAGTATCACACCTCCTGTATTAGAGCACCACCTCCTCCCCACTCTGGATGAAGGAGCACAGGGGACATAGCAGGCAGCACCACAGTGGCTAAGTGGTTAGCACTTCCGCCTGGCAGTACTAGGGTCGTTGGTTCGAATCCCAACTATGGCTCCAGCTGCCTGGAGTTTGCATGCTCTTCCTGTGACTGCGTGGGATTCCTTCAGGTACTCCGATTTCCTCCCACATTCCAAAGACATGCTGGGAGGTGAATTGGCTCCTGTCTAAATTGTCCCTAGTATGTGTGAGCTAGGGACCTTAGATTGTACACCCCTTGAGAGTTTGGAAATTCGGGCACTGCCCAAGGGCCCGGGGTCAGTAGGGGGCCCCATGAGATGCCCATGAGGCTTTTTTGAGTTTGGGCAATGACACAGGGGATCCCCTATTGCCCGGGGGGCCCCATGAGTTGTCAGTCCGCCCCTGGGCAGGAGCTTACGTGTACTTGGCCTGATGGTGTCAGTGTGCTATTAACGTCTCGCTTTGAACATTTGCCGCCTGTCCTTGTGTTCGGCTCTCTCTTGGACAAATGTTTCCTCTTCGGAGGAGTGCTGTCACCTCCAGAACAAGACAACCAGCCCCTTCACAGGCAGGCGTAAGTGACCAGTTGAGAGACCCCTTCTGGGCCCAAATGGCCTCATCATGTGCAAAGTGCAATCTGTTCTCTATTTGCATTGCGCTCTGCCCTCACTCTGCCCCTTCCCCATCCAGATAAAAGAAATCTTTCCTGTTTCTGGAAGGTGTCAGGAGGCTCCTCTGGATGTCCATGGCTTCTACCGGCCCCGCCGCCTTCAAAGGCCCGTCTTCTCGATTTGTGAGATCCCTGTCTCGGTGATCAAACACGGGGTCATGTCTGAGCCAAGGCTTCCATCATCCCTGAGCTGCCCCCAGGTGGATGATGTTAGAGGATCCTCTGCTATTAATTACAGCAAACAGTTATCATATGTACCGTACAGGGGCGGACTGACAACTCATGGGGCCCCCGGGCAATAGGGGATCATGGGGCCCCTGTGCCCTTGCCCAAACTCAAAAAAGCCTATGAAAAAGGTACCAGGGGTATCTCATGGGGCCCCCTACTGACCCCGCGCCCTCGGGCAGTGCCTGAGTTTCCAAATGGTCAGTCCGCCCCTGGTACCGTACCAGTATCAGCACCGCCGCCGGGAGGAGCAGAATTACAAGAGAGATCTTCACTGGCATTTTAGATTGCAAGATCCTCGCACCAGTCATAGAGGAGCAGATGTGTCTTACCTCGAGAGACGGGGAGTGACATATGTCCTCTGCTAGATATGGCCAACCTAGAACACAAGCAGCAAATTCTGAAGCTGGGAATATTATAATAAAAATTTGAATCTACAATTTTACATTTGTTATCAAAATGCAGACTGTGTGAGCTGCTACACCCTTGTATTCTCTCCCGGTCACAGCAGAATGCCAACCCATTGTGAGGTTGACCTATCTCCCACCTGAGCTCAGAGTTGACACCTAACACTCCATCCTGGCTGCTGGAGGAAGGTTTTCATTTATTTTGATTTAATTTAAAATTTTATTTTCATGAAAAAGTCCATAGTTTCCTTTTCTGACCTTGATCGTGTTCAGATGCATTTCTGAACCCACCTGGCAGGGCCCTTGGTCACCTGTATCGGTCTAATCATCTGTGGCACAGGCACTCCGCACCCTACAGCTGCATGTATACATGCCTCTGACATACACTATATTACCAAAAGTCATGGGCCCGCCCTCCAAATCATGTGATTCAGGTGTTTCAGTCCCCTCCCAATCATGTGATTCAGGTGTTCTAATCCCCTCCCAATCACGTGATTCAGGTGTTCCAATCCCCTCCCAATCATGTGATTCAGGTGTTCTAATCCCCTCCCAATCACGTGATTCAGGTGTTCCAATCCCCTCCCAATCATGTGATTCAGGTGTTCTAATCCCCTCCCAATCACATGATTCAGGTGTTCCAATCCCCTCCCAATCACGTGATTCAGGTGTTCCAATCCCCTCCCAATCATGTGATTCAGGACTTCCAATCCCCTCCATGGACACAGGTGTATACAATCAAGCCCCTAGGCATGCAGACTGCTTCTACAAACATTGGTGAAAGAATGGGTCGCTCTCAGGAGCTCAGTGACTCCAAGCGTGGTCCCGTGATAGGTGGCCACCTGTGCAATAAGTCCATCCGTGACATTTCCTGGTTACTAAATATTCCACGCTCAACTGTTAGTGGGATTATAACAAAGTGGAAGCAACTGGGAATAACAGCAACTCAGCCACCAAGTGGTAGGCCACGTCACATGACAGGGCGGGGGGGTCAGCGCATGCTGAAGCGCACAGTGCGCAGAAGTCGCCAACTGTCTGCAGAGTCAATAGCTAAAGACCTCCAAACTTGGTGTGGCCTTCAGATGAGCCCAACAACAGTGCGTAGAGAGCTTCATGGAATGGGTTTCCATGGCCGAGCAGCTGCATCCAAGCCTTCCATCACCAAGTGCAATGCAAAGCGTCGGATTCCGTGGTGTAAAGCACGCTGCCACTCGACTATAGAACAATGGAGACGTGTTCTCTGGTGTGACCAATCACACTTCTCTGTCTGGCAATCCGATGGACATGTCTGGGTTTGGCGGTTGCCAGGAGAACGGTACTTGCCTGACTGCATTGTGCCAATTGGAAAGTTTGGTGGAGGGGGGATTATGGTGTGGGGTTGTTTTTCAGGGGTTGGGCTTGGCCCCCTAGTTCCAGTGAAGGGAACTCTTAAGGTGACATTTTGGACAATTTCATGCCCCCAACTTTGTGGGAAGAGCTTGGGGATGGCCCCTTCCTGTTCCTCAACATGACTGCACACCAGTGCACAAAGCAAGGTCCATAAAGACATGGAGGAGCCAGTTTGGGGTGGAGGAACTTGACTGTCCTGCACAGAGTCCTGACCTCAACCCCATAGAACACCTTTGGGATGAATTAGAGCGGAGACTGCGAGCCAGGCCTCCTCCCCCGACATCAGTGCCTGACCTGACAAATGTGCTTCTGGAAGAATGGTCCAACTTTCCCATAGACACCCTCCTAAACCTTCCCAGAAGAGTTGAAGCTGTTATAGCTGCAAAGGGCGGGGCCAACTCAATATTGAACCCTACGGACTAAGACTGGGGGGGCCATTAAAGGTCATGTGTGTGGAAAGGGTGGGGCCAACTCAATATTGAACCCTACGGACTAAGACTGGGAGGCCATTAAAGGTCATGTGTGTGGAAAGGCCGGTGGCCCAATACTTCTGGCAATGTAGTGTATATGTGGAATGCCTGCACCGCAGAAGATTGGCTCATTACAGGTGACATCTTCCTGGCGGGCTCAGCCACATGGGTTCGGAAAGGTATCTGAACATGTTCAAGCTCATCTCTATTCCCACGTAATCCTGAAAGTGTGTGACTGGGGGGGGGCATTAGAGTAAATTTTTGTTTATGTAAAATCTTGCAAATATACATTTTGTTAATAAAAACATATTTACATATATACAAAAAATAAAATAAAAATGAATATATATAAACAAACAAAACCAAACAAGCTTACATCAGCAAATAACAGAAAAGAAAACTGATTTTTTCGGAAAATAACATAAATAGAACTCAATACAAAGAAACATAATTTTATTATCCGAAAACTACTAAATTATGCAAAACACAACCCATCCCCCACCTAAACACACATGCCGCCTTTTTCCAAAGATTTGATCTTATTAAAATCTAGGGGACGTGAAAGGACAGAAAGTGAAGCCACGCACTAAAAGACTGACAGACAGCAGCTACGGGGACCTGACATTCCTCCACACCTTTGTCCAGGCTCCCGGCCGCCACCTGTCCTTCTCAAGATCCCGAATCTTCCCGACCTCAACCAGAATGTTGTTCACCACCACCTCAACAGGAAGGACTTTTTTCCGCATGGAAACCGGACACCGTGCATTCCACGTGTAGTAGCGGACTACTCAGCTAACTAGAAAAAATGTCTCAAAATCAAAATCCCAGTGAGCCTGAAAGGCTCCGTAAGACCACTCCATGTAACTCAAGCGGGAAAGGAAAGGGATCCCCAGAGCCCCACCCACCCGCTTGTAGACTTCTATATTGAAGGGACACTGAAGCAAGAAATGGTCCATCGTCTCATCCACCCCACCGCACTCCACTCTTGGACAACCACGGTTCTCCGCAGAGCGATGCTTCAGGTTGCCCTTCACATAGAGTCTGCCATGGAACGAGAGCCAGGCCAAATCCCGAAACTTTAAAAGGATTCTCTCCAGATTCATCAAAGGCAGACCCTCCCTCATAACCGGGCCTGGGCCATCCCTCAAGGCCAATGGCTTGCTAAAGGCAGATTCAACAACCCTCCTCTCCAGGGCCTTCCTAGAAAGAGACTAAATTTCCTCCGCCGTCACTCGCCATTGCCGAAGCATTTTCAGACATGGGGCAACATAAGCCGGGAGCTTACCATGTTGGCCCCTCAGGCTTTTCACTGGCCTACCATGCTCCCAGCTCCATAGAAAAGGCCTAAACCAGGACTGAAAAATACCAACCCACCCAGGCGGTTCCTCTAAAAAAATTATGTTTCAAAAACGTCAGAGAAAAGAAAACCACCGGGTTGACCATACCTAGGCCACCCATTAAACATTAGAGTGTAAATTTTTTGTTTATTAAAATCTTGCAAACAAAAAACATCATAAAAATCATATTTACATATATACAGAATAAAAATATGTATTTTTTAAACAAAACCAGCTTACTTCAGCAAAATAACAAATCCTGACCGTCACCTAAACACCCCCTCAGGCTAAGAAACGATTAAACATTCACCCCATACATGCAGACTTTCTTCAAAAATCTGATGTTACAAAATCTAGGGGACGTGAAAGGACAGAAAGAGAAGCCACGCCCCCAGAGACTGACAGACAGCAGCTACGGGGACCTGACATTCCTCCACGCCTTTGTCCAGGCTCCCGGCCGCCACCTGTCCTTCTCAAGACCCCGAATCTTCCCAACCTCACCCAGAATGTTGTTCACCACCACCTCGACAGGAAGGACTTTTTTGCGAATGGAAACCTGACACCGTGCATTCCACGTGTGGTAACGGACTACTAAGCTAACTAGAAAAAGTGTCTCAAAATCAAAATCCCGGTGAGTCTGAAAGGCTCCGTAAGACCACTCCGCGTAACTCAAGCGGGAAAGGAAAGGGATCCCCAGAGCCCCACCCACCCGCTTGTAGACTTCTATATTGAAGGGGCACTGAAGCAAGAAATGGTCCATCGTCTCCTCCACCACCCACCGCACTCCACTCTTGGACAACCACGGTTCTCCGCTCCGCAGAGCGATGCTTCAGGTTGCCCTTCACATAGAGTCTGCCATGGAACGAGAGCCAGGCCAAATCCCGAAACTTTAAAAGGATTCTCTCCAGATTCATCAAAGGCAGACCCTCCCTCATAACCGGGCCTGGGCCATCCCTCAAGGCCAATGGCTTGCTAAAGGCAGATTCAACAACCCTCCTCTCCAGGGCCTTCCTAGAAAGAGACTAAATTTCCTCCGCCGTCACTCGCCATTGCCGAAGCATTTTCAGACATGGGGCAACATAAGCCGGGAGCTTACCATGTTGGCCCCTCAGGCTTTTCACTGGCCTACCATGCTCCCAGCTCCATAGAAAAGGCCTAAACCAGGACTGAAAAATACCAACCCACCCAGGCGGTTCCTCTAAAAAAATTATGTTTCAAAAACGTCAGAGAAAAGAAAACCACCGGGTTGACCATACCTAGGCCACCCATTAAACATTAGAGTGTAAGCTCCTCTGGTGCAGAGACTGATGTGACAGCTGGTTCCTGTAGCTACCATTTGATGGGGAACCACAATTTTGAATTGTTAAATTCCTGCAGCATAAACAGATGTACTATTATAAAGGCAGCAGACACCTTTTGTACTGATATCTGCATTCATAGATGACCCCGGAGCAATTCGCCAGAAGCTGGAACAACAGAGCCAGCACCTGCCTGGCCTCAGCCGTATTGGTTGGGGTGTCCGGCTCGTGCCATCCCACTGACGGACAGACGTGTGCCTATCAATGCTACTTGTCCAGTGGTGAAAGGATCAATATAATCCTTTTCAGCAACTCTCCTTATCTGGCCCTCTTCAAATGATAATGGGAGATGACCCCGAGGTCTTACCCAGCCCATTAACCCCCACACTGCTGAAAAAGACCCCTAGCCTCCTGCCTCCTGGGGCCCAGCCCATTAACCCCCACACTGCTGAAAAAGACCACTGGCCTCCTGTATCCTGGGGCCCAGCCCATTAACCCCCACACTGCTGAAAAAGACCACTGGCCTCCTGCATCCTAGGGCCCAGCCCATTAACCCCCACACTGCTGAAAAAGACCACTGGCCTCCTGCATCCTGGGGCTCCGGTGGCCAGGCAGTAAGGGGTTAATAAAGAGGGTCTGCCAGGGGCCTGAGTGGCTTTTGTCATTTTAATGAAGCAAAATCTAATCAGGTTTGTATTGTCCTCAGAGGAGGGTGTCCCTTCCCCAGGGGACAAAGATGGGGGAGACCTCTGACCCGTGGCGTGAACCCCTCCGCCGCCACAGACCGAACCTCAACATCCAGAATGATGGAGAGGCGACCTCTGACCCCACACGAGGATCCTCTTTATATCATCTGATCGATGAAATGTCAGCGGATGACCCGTGAGGGGCGGACCAGCTGGGCCTCCTGGATGACGGGAAGGGTTAATACGCAGCCGCCGGGACTGTCAGCTGATGCTGCATTTGTCTTCAACATTTTCTTATCTTCAAAGCCCCTGTAGGGGGGGCACTGGGAGGGCATTAATAGCATGAAAGGATTTCCTGACAATGATATCCAGAGCATTGCATTCACCTAAACCAATCTGCTTCCAATATCAGG